CTAACCTAGAGAAGAGTCAAGGAAACATTGAACGTGCAGCCAAGCAACGTGGCAGATGACACCACGTAAAGCACTGATGTTCGCACGGTCTCATTAGGAACCAAGCGATACCTTTATTACGTTCAGCCTCAAAAGGAAAACTAATGATTAACTTCATACCACGTTTATTTTTAGATAGTACTGCAGGAATGAAGAGAAGATGACACAGGCCTGCCACAACCAGCTTACAATTCAACGTTGACAAACACCATGAAAAAATTCCGTGAACAGGAGGAGGTGGGGGAGACTAATGCTGCCAGGTTAAAAAGAGGGGGCTTTCTGGAAAGGGGATTGTCCCAAGGGAAAAAAAACAAGTGACACAGGGTCAGGCACAAGGAACCGGCAGGCAGCAGTAGGATGACAATGTCGAGCACAGGACACTCAAAAAACACTGTGCAGAGACAGGCTGGGCAGCACAGGGAGAAAAACAAGGAGCTGTAGGATTTATAGTTCACATGTAAGAATGCATCTACATAACAGAGCATTGTTTCAGCTATTCCAGAAAAGGTAACATTGTGAAATAGAGATCAGAAGCGTTTTATAAAAACCCCAAACTCAAACCAGTCCCTTCTCAACAGGAATCCTACTACAAATACTCTGTACTTCTGAAGTGGGAAGTAGGGAGAACCAAAAGCTCTGCACATGCAGAGAAGACTTACAGGAGAAGAAAAATAAAGAAGTAACAGAACTTGCAGTTTTAAAGATTTCATTCTTTTTACCCTACAGTATCTGCTTTGTATTTCATGGCATATTTTCCAATTTCATCAGCCCGTCAAGAGGGAAATTTCCTACTTTAAAACGTTTTAGTGATTTACTGTCTCAGTTAAAATCTCATTATGCTACAATTTCCCTCTGTAGACAGAGCATGGAGAGGCCAGGCTGTTGTGGGAGCTGAACATTTCAAAGGCTGTAGCAGCACTGCAGTTACGTTGGAGTCTCAAGAGTCACTTTTTTTATTTTTTTGGTAGACATCTGTGCCCAGTTTCACCTCAAGGACCCAGATAGAAGTTTATTCAGTTACTGTCGTAGAGTAAGTATCCCATTAAGCAAAGCAGCAGATTTCCTCTGCCACCCTGACGGCATCATTGCATTAGTGCTATAAAGGCTGTGTCTACAGGGCTTACGTAGTGACAGATGAGTGAAAGGGAAAAGCCATCACCCTTTCTTCCCCACTCAGTGTTTAGTATTTTTAATACAGGTGCATATTAACTGCACGTGAGAGTCTGCAGAGGCCAGGAACAGTGTTTCCAGAAGGTGCCATCACCTTTACCCAGCAGCACCCCTGACTGAGGGCTCCTACAAACAGGAAGTGCTCACAGATCAGGTTTACTGCTTCGTTACATTCAGTTGAGGATGCTTCTGTGGAGGAGATGGTCTTTCCCATGACCACCCTCCTTGTACTTCTCATACGGATGAGGGTAAAGGGGTACAAGGGACATAAAAAAACTCCTACAAATTCTAGCCTGTAGGAATTCTGAAAGTAGTTAAACCACACTGACCTATATAGTTTTACAGGTAAATGCGTTATTAATTTAAATTGATGTTGCTCTCTAGTCTTTGGTAGCCCATTAATTTTTTCCACAAGGCTCATGCACATAGAAGTGCACACCAGGAATTTTCTTGGTCCTGCATCACTTGGCTGGAAAGCAGCAATGGTGTTTTCTGTTCCAAACATAAATAATCCACAACTACATTTCCGTAAGCATCAAAGAATGAGGCCCATGAACAATCACATGTAACAGGACCATCCCAACAGCGTGCGCTTCTGCACCGTGCAAGTCCACATCTGGAAGAGGCTGAAACCAGACTCCTCTGCCCTCCAAGGGGCTCACCCCTGCAGGAGGCCCAGCGTTTAAGCAGCTATGCCACCATCAGTAGGGTATTTGCACATCTTGCATGCAGATACAGGGGGTCTGATAGACAAATGTGAGACTGCTTTTAAAATAAGTTTGGTTCACAGCTGTCAGTACGTTAAACCCCACAAAGTCAGACCAGTGTTTCACCTAGCCCAGCACAGATTTGCTCCATCTTTGACCAATTCTTAAGAGACACAACACATAGAAAAGTAATCTTCCTTTGATATAATTTTCTTATTTGCAGCAACTAAAAATCTCCCTGAGTTAGTGGATGCATCAGACCAGCCCCTTTTTAAAAAACATTTCTACTCCTCTTCCCCACTACGTTCTGCAGCGATGAATTCCACAGTTTGACTTTGCACTGCACGAGAAAGCATTCCCATTTGTCCGTCCAAACCAAGCTTCGTGTACCCTCTTGTCCTCACGACTGCAAGCCCAAGGCACGCTTTACTCTTCAGCCACAGAGCCCGAAACTGTGACTCAGAGGCAGGAGCTTTCTTCCTCACAGCTGACCAGCAGCTTGTAAACACCGTGGCACATCAGCAGAGCAGTAAGCACAGATACCCACCGTTGGATCAGATGAAACTTTGTTAGGGGATATTCCCAATAAAGGGCAGGAACAGGGAACTGCAGCAGGGAGCTAGGTGGCAGGAATAAAAGGGTGTTGTTTACTTGAGTGTATTTCAAAGGCAGCAGCGTCTCCAGTGCTACTTCATGAAAATATACCATTCCATTACACTTTTTTTGCAAAGACACTTATCACCAGGAATTTGAGTGATATGAGAGCAGAAGCTACGACGTTGAACGTTGAAAGGGAGGTGGAAGTCATGCTGCGTTAGCACAACTCCAACAGCTGTCTCTATTTTAAGACACCGAGTCTGAGGACTGTGGCTCAGACACTCACCTGTCTGAGCTTATACTAAAAAAAGATACTTAATCTTTCATTGTCATGTCACAAACACCTCTGAGCAAGAGTAGGGATCTTCTCAAAATATTTAGTAGTAAATGTAGTAGTATGAAATGCAGAAATCTGCAGAAAGCCCTCTGGAAATCTAGGCAAGCTGTACTACTGCTGGTGGGTCTCTGAACAGGTACTTGAGAGAATGCCAGGTGAACAGGAAAACAAATCAAAACCCTGCTCCTTAGTTATTGCTCAACACGAAAGAGAAAAAGGTCACTGAGTCATCACCAAAGCTGGAGGCCAACAAAAGACACAAGTTCTAGAGGAGTGAAGTGTTGACAGCGGGTGATAAGGCTGTCTCGGAACAAACACATTTAATAAAGGCAACACGTTAAAAAAAAAAAATCCACAAATGTGTAAAATACTCAAGTGGCGAGTCATTTCCAAACGAGACTGAAGACAAAGGTACCATGGAGTGGAGGAGCAGCTGACCTGCCCACAGGAGGCTGGCTGGCAGCAGGGACTGGAGATGGCGCTGCTGCCCCACTGAGCAGAGAGGGACTTCACAGGGCTTCCAGCCCTCCTGCCCAGGCTCTGTGCGAGGTCACCAAGCTCGCTATTTCGGGAAGGTGAAGGTCTGGCTGGGCTGAGCATCTGCATGTTCAAACCATTAGCAAAGGACTTAACACCCAGTTTCCATGTAGTTTCTCAGAGGAAGGTCCGAGTGCACTGTTGTTCCTAATCCCCAGCTTAGAGCTGATGGGGCAGTGATCCAGTCTTGTACTTTTCCAACCAGAGAAGTAAGTCGAATGACTAACCCCCTTGCCAGGCTTTGCAGTAACGGAGAAGTTTGCAGTTCAGAAAGCACCACCACTACATCTTCATAACTGGTTTATGTCTGCCCCCAACCTTCCCGCGGCCATAGCCCAGCCCAGCACACGTGCTGCTGCATGCACACCGGCCGTGTCCTCAACGCTGCACAGTCCTGCTCCGAGCAGGTCCAAATGGTGCAGTGGCTAACACTAGTCACAAGGCTAGAAGCTGAGCTACCAAACTCAACAAGAAGGTTAAGGGCAGAAAAGTCAGCTTTAGACAAGACTTACAAGTCCCTCTATAAAAGTAAGTAGGTTAAGAATTCCCTTTATATTCCCTCCATGGTAACAGGCCTGGAGCACCTTTACCCACACATACTGCTCTGCACGTCAGCTTCACCGTACACACTCTGTCCAGACAGAGCATCGACATCGTAGAAGGCTCTTAATACAGCCAAACCAGCAGCTTTTTGGTCAGTCACAGTAACCTGGTATTCAGCAGCGTGGGGGCTATTATCAGAACAACGTAAATAAACTATGGCTAGAGGAAGAATTACATCACCGCATCGCCCTGCCGTATGTCCACAGGATCCAGTTACCAGACACAAAGGAGTGTGAGTGATTCTTTTCAACAGCAGGTCAGCTCACGACACGTGCACACCAAGGTATTGGGAGCCCCAGCACTCAGCTTCGAGACGCTTCTCCACTTTACTGAATACACACTGCTGCTCCCTTCCCAGGCTCATGTCGGAGGGAAGAAGAGTCAAAAGGCAACAAGTCTCAAAGCACTTCATCGGTAAACAAGATCCATTTCCTATCTTAAAGGTTCCAGGACTGCAGACAGTTTAAAACACACATAGGTGGTTTGAGGGCTGGGAAGAGGAGGAATTCCAGGCCTCCGAAGGCTTGGTCTAGGACAAAGCAGTCCACTAGGCTCTTCATTTCAGTGTGGAAGGCAGATCCATTGCTCAGTCTGTGTCATTTGCAGTAATAAAACACTTGGGAGCTGTCAGTGCTAGCAGCCAACATTTAGCAATACACTGAAGCTGTGTAGGAATAAAATCCCCTTCCCTGTCTCAGAAACAGTTTGGGGTATGTCTGGATAGACAGTAAAACCACTGGGTCCAGCTACATATCGAGCAGAAAGCCTCAGGAAGGGAGGAGAGTGCAGCTTGCATCCGAGACAACGTCAGCCAAGGTTGGGGGCAGAGGGGGAGAAAACAGACTTCAGCATGTTACGTTTGCAAAGTCAAATTATGGTCTTTTTTCCCTTTTCCTCCATCCCTCTATTCCTTCTCTCCCCAATTTCCTATGCCGAGACTCTGCAGCTGGAGAGCGTGATCGGGGGATAATTTAAGACACAATATCTGTGTGGCCTTTATAAAAAAAGCATCTTGTGTTCTGGAGTAAGGAGTGGGAAGTCTCCTCCTGACATATATCTCAGGGAAGCTCAGTCATGATGTCCAGCCCTCACTCCAGTGAGGAGCAAAGACCAGCAGAGCCCGGAGGGAAAACGCCTGTCTTACACCACAGGTAGAACCCACGGATGTGGTCGGAACCTGTACAGGGGAGGTTGTATCTGAAGCACCAGCTTAAACAAAGGCTTCTTCATTGGGAGTGCCGTTGATTTTGAAGAAGAGTTTGGCATCATCCATTTTCTGCTGCTTTTCTCTCTCTAGCCTGCGTCTGTAGCAGACCAGGTAGATCGGGAGGCAGAAACCCAGGAGGCTCACACCAAGCAAGCCAACGTTCACCTGCAAGAAGACAAAACAGAATTAAGCAGGCTAGGAAGACAGCCACCCAGTCACGCATGCCAAAGTGTCAGAACCCAGCCCATGTCATTCAGCCGCAGGCAAACCAGGAGACGCCCTGCTCAGTGTATTGGCCTCCACTGTATTTATATTTACACTCCTGTGCCCAGAGACCGTGTGTGTAAGCTAACTGCTGCAAGAATTTGTTGCTGTGGATCGTGGCTGCAGGAGTCTTGTTCCACAGAACAGTGAGGGCTGTTTAAACTTCAGTTTTTACACCCAGTTTGCTGACTGAAAAGCCACAGGTTGCTGGGGTTGGCACATGTAGCCTAGAGACCAGGACTCTTCCCCAGGACCACCCATATCAAGATTTCAATGAGCTGCCCAGACAGATGCTCATCAAGACACCCCATTAGCCCTACCCTCAACAGCCACTTTGCTTTTCAGACACTGGCATTGGCAAACCAGAAATTTACTGTGGTTGGAGCTAATCGCTCTCAAAGGAACGCAGCATTACTACTGCATTTTGAAGTCCACACAGATTCACTTTTACCTGACAGATTCTGACTCGCCACACAAACTGTTAGCAGAAAGCACTTGTGCAGCCTTCTCCCCTCCTCCTTTTCCATGCACTGGCATAAGGGTTAATGGCTTTCCCCCCCCGAATCATTACTCACACAGGGGAGGGTCACCTGGACAGCACCAAGGTAACAGCAGGCTGAGGGAGCTGTAAAGCTCCAGCTGTTTTTAACCTTGGTTTGTGCACAAGAGTCCTTTTTTTTCCCCCCCCAAAGAACTAACTAAAATCATCTCAACCACCAAGCCTTCACAGTAACAGAGAAGAACTTGCCCAGAGAGGGTCTCCTTCCAAAGGTCCCGTCAGTGCCATAAAAAGAGGCTGCTGCAGAAGGGCAAAAAGGGCGCTGATCAACGACTGCAACCCTGTCAAGCTGCCAAACTGAGTAGAGGGGTATCTGTCAACAGAGAAAGCAACAACATTATACATCACCTTGACTGTTCGCATCACCCAGATCAGTTTACATTCCCAAGTGACCAGAGGACAGTCCCCAGATAGGCGTAACACGAAAAACTTCTCTTCTCCTCCATTTATCTCTACCTACCTCTTTTTACAGAGCGTTTCATTATACCCGACAGCATGCACAGTGCTCTTGAGAGCAGAATGCAGCTGGCGACAAGGCTCCAGCCTATGCTCATCCTGAGCTCCAACTTTAGTAGCAGACCCAGCACTTGTTTTGCAGCTGTACCGTGGGAAGGTGGAAGTGCTCCTACAAGTGCTGTTCCCATTGCAAAGGGAGAAGAGTGTTGATATTTACAAGTTAAAAACAAGGCCTCTTTATCCAGATGACAGTGTATGCGGCTGAGCAATTGTTTTCATCTGCTCGTAACAATCTGCTCCCTTTAGGAGCGAGTGAAACCTGCACAACAGGTTAGTATGTGTTTTCCTTTTTAGAGGGCAAGTCTGATCCTAGGTCACACTAAATACTGTTGATTGGAAAGTGCTGAATATGACATACTAATGTTACAGTAGATCTCAGGAACAGTCTAATATAATTCTCTTTCCATGCCTGAGCAGAGTTTAAAAAGGGTCAGATTAAACTAAGTTTGGAAAGAATGAAGTGCATCAAAACCTTCAAAAATTCAAAGTCACATCCAAAGCAAAAATACCTCACTCCAGGAAGTTCCAGAGACTTGCAACGGTCAAACAGGATTAGTTTACAAGCAAGCTGGTATGTACAGCAATAGGCATCTACTTTGCCTAAGACAAAAATCTTTTGCCTCTAGCTGCCAGGGAACCAAGAGTTTACATGTTTTTGAAGCAGAGCCTTTTCTAGTCTGGACTCCCAAGACACTGCGACCAAAAGCTTTGGCAGGAGGTGGCTGTGGAATCTCTGTCCGTGGAGATATTCAAAACCCAAGTGGATGCAGTCCTGGGCAACCTGCTCTAGCTGACATTGCTTGAGCATGAGGGTTGGACTGGATGGTCTCAAGAGGTCCCTTCCCACCTCAATGACTCTGATTCTCTGAAAAATAACAGCCTCGTTCTGTTCCTCTGTAAAACGGCCCAGGGCAGAGGGGCAGATCTGTTTTCAAAACAAAACCCATTGCTTAATAAGGAAGAGAGTATTTAGGTTCAGCTACTGATAGTTGTGATAACTTGGAAACAGGGTGGATGATCTGTCCCGAGAAAAGGAGCAGGCATCACTAATGGCACCTTCAGCAATGCTTTACCGGTGTAATTTCAGAGCAGACCAGTAGCAATGTACTCAATTACGTTAATGTTTTACCTGGACACATGCACATAGCTAACTCATTATAAGACAAAAAAAGCCTTGAGTTTTTACTCTGTAACCTCAGTGTTGATAGCCTCGTCTCACCTGAGGCTCGTACATAGCTGTGCCTGTCTCACTGCAGCAGCTATGCCAAAGGGGCTAGCTGTTTCTAAACAAGGAAAGCATCAGCTAGGACTAAGTCCAGCTACTGGCATATCCAATGATCACTGAGAAAACAAGTTGCATCATTTTCCCCCCTCTGACCATGAAGACTTCACTTCCTGCTCCCTCTCATCTGTGCAGATTATCATCCCAAACCAGTTTATCTGGCCAGCCACATACTGCAGGTAAGCAGAGACTTACACAGCTGCATACAGGCCTCCCACAGCCGAGTGGATGAATCCTCTCACGATTGTGTGCAAAATGAAGGAAAGAATCTGGAAAGAGAAGCAGAAAAATGGCACATCTTAGACACCACCTGGGTGTGCCAGACCCCAACATACAGCCATTCCTGAAAGCCACTCTCTTTTCTTGTATGGAGGTGAGCTCGAGGAACCCAGAACCAAAACCCAACAGAGCAGCACAAGGACACAAATTTGTCCTCCTCTCCGAAGGCACTGCTTTTCCTTCCTTTGCAAAGGCGAACACGATGTGCCCTGAGGTTAACCACACACAAGACCTTTCATCTGTAGATGGCACGGCAGCAAGGACGTGTCCCCAGCAACCTGTGGCCAGGGTCACAGTGCTTTTTCATTGCGCTTGCGGCCAATTTAGTTAATTTTCCACAAGTTATTGTGGACAATATGCAAGTATGAGCAATCTATATCCGTTTGCCTACGTCATCAAGGCATGTTTAAGTATAGCATAAAAATCATTAAAGTCTTCTTCCAGAAACAGGTGGTGCCACAAAATAAATATTTTAACAGGTTTATGATCCCACGGGTACCATTGGGCACAGCATTTGATGCAGAAATAACCTGCTGTGTGGATCAGTGTCTTGCTTTTGACAGCAACTTTACTGTCAGCTTAAACCAAGCCCAGGTTAAACGCACAGGTACTGCTGAGAGGACCTCAGGAGGAAACATTTGTTGTTAGAGCTCAGCTGTAGAAACTTCTAAGTTGGAATAAATTGTAGATCAACCCTGACATTTTAACTATAGCTCTTTCTTTAGGTTCTCTCAAGAGATGTAAACTGCGTGGTCTGACTTGTTTCAGCTGTAAAACTGGGGTTCCCCAGCGCAGTACCAGAAAGCCCTCCTGCCACCAGCTGGTTCTGCTGGCTCACAGGATCTCCTGGCACTGTCCTGCCTGTCGTTTTTGTCAGGGGCCCCACTGCCAGCCCCTCCAGCACACCCATCCATTTGACCTATTCACCTGCAACGGTAGATTAGGAATAAGACAGGTGATTCCAAATCCGACCAGCAGGACATTTGTGAATGCAAAGGCATTGGTGGCATTGGTGATTTTCTGGATCTGACGATCACGTTTTTTCTTTTTCTTGTCACTTCTGGAAGGACAGCAAAACTTAGGTTACAAAGAGCACTTTCAGCAGCTACTGGAACTCACAGCAAGATTCTCCACGTATCACATCATCGCTATCTAAACCAGTTTGGCTAGTGGTCTGCATAAGGGGGTGGTGGGATCTCCATCAGTGGAAGCTGAGGAACCTCTGGGCAGTTATTTCAGTGCCGTTACTCTTACGATTAGGCTAGAAGAGAAGTCTGAGCCTCCCCTGCTACCATTTAGATTTGCTCTTCTTGACTGATCTTAGTGGACATGGAAGAGTTTGGTCTTTTCCTCTGCAATTATCAAGTCTTCCTTCGAGCTTGCTTTCTACACTGAAGAACCAATATCCTTTTCAGTCTTTCATCACAAAACAATTTGGGCAGAGCAGAGGGGGCCCGCTACGTGGCTGCATGTCCCGTGTGGCGCACACTACGCACTGCTCGGCGTTGTTCTCCTCGTTCTCTTCTGAGCCATCATCACATTCTTTCAGTCGCCAGTCCATGATGTACCCGATCACGGGCGCTGTCAGCAGGCACAGTAGTTGCAATACCCCAAAAATGGAAGTGTAGAGAGCCACTGCAAGAAAAAAAAACAATTTCAGAAGTTGTCAGCCCAAGTGGTACTGTACAAGCAACAGGAAAAAGGTGACAGAAGTTGTCGCTCCCAGTTGATCACCTCTTGTGAAGAGCCCAGACCCCATACGCTCACAGGCTAGCAGGCAGGGCTGAAGGAGCTGTGACACCAAAGCCCCACTTCAGTCAGCCCCCAGAGGCATGCCGTTAGAGCGGACATAGCGGGCACACTTACTTCAGCCATTCTGGTCCAGCACTAGTATTCTCTGAGCAGCATCAGCCCAACAGCAGGGAGGGCTCCAGGAACGGGACCCAGCACCTGCTTAATGCCAGCCAGGTTTATCCCAGCCAGGACCAACCAGGAAAGTTCTTGGAAGCAATATATCCTGCACAGCTAACCCTGCCTTAGTCACCTCCTCTGCTGCCTTGCTGGGAGCTCCAGCTGCATCTTTCCCAGCTGGGAAGCTCTAGCAAGCACAAGCCAGACTGGGAAGGTGAGGACTAAACCATTTAGTGCAGAATAGACAAGTTTGGAGGCAGGGGCAAGGGAGATAAACAGCAAAACACACACAGCATCTGAAAGCAACCATTAAAAACCCCAAACTGATGAAAATTCTATGTGTTAAAGATGGGAGAAGCATCTACATGGCTTGCTAGGGGAAAGCTGATGCCAGCAGACTTGAAAGAAACTGTCCCCTCCTGTTACTGAACAGTTCCCCACCCCAACGTTTTTCCACTTCCTCTCTGCAGCCCACATGAGGGATCTGTAGGCATCCTACAGAAGGGCTGGTGAGTCACGGTGCACCACATCTCTGAAATAAGGATGTAATTCTGAAACTGCCCATCTCAGCACAGAGTGCTTAGAAGTCACAGCACTGTAAGCAAAATACAGCCAAAGAGAATTTTAGTTTGTCCCTCCCAATGCATCTCAAGGTCTAGCCAAAGCAGTACAGCCAGGACTTACATGAAAGTCAACTTGGTAATGGAAAGAAGTTTCCAACAAGCCTTTCTGTCCTCTACAGTTGTGGCAAACCCCAGCAGAGCTGCCTCGCAGTGCCCAGGCACCTGATGATACTTTCCTGGCTCCAGTTGCTGGCAAGGGATTAAGAGGAACTTCCAACTCCAGCCTCCAAACTCACATTCATGCCCCCGTTACCTCCGCAATGCAAGCCCTGCATGGCTCCACATCCCATCTCGTTATAGCAACTGCTGTAGCCAAGAGGGACAGGTGCCGTCACCCTCTACAAATGCTCCTGAAGCTGATTTGCTGTTGTCTGGTTATTTTTTAATAGAGGATAAGAAGCAAGTCATGATGTCATGTTTTGCCTCTTCATGCTATTCTGAACACTTAATCTTGGGCTCTAAACACCAACCGCAGAAGCCAACTTGAAGCAGGGAATAAAATTTATGGGGTCAGCAAAAAAAAAGAGAAGGAGACAGTAGCTGCGACAAAACAGGGCCTTCTCATTTTATCTATCATCTTAAAACATGGCAGAAGTAGAAGCCTGGACAGAGCAAACAGACAAGGGGGCACACATGGGCACAGCTCCTTAAATCCGCTGCTGTGCGGGTCTCCCCTTCAGAGCTATCCTGAGCAATCACCTCATACAGCCAAGTTTTCCAGCCCACCCTGATCCTACCCAAGGCCTCCAAGTGTTCATCTGCACAGCAAGCAGGACTTCCAAGGACATAGTGCCTCATGGCAACTCAAAGACTTTACTCCTTATCTGAAGGATATTCCCCACATCCTTCTCTCCCGCTCTGCTCCCAGGAATATTTAAGTTTTCTTTGGCCATGACACTTGCAGGATTGACTCAACTCTCATCTTCCCCCACTGAGAGCAGTTGCAGGTGAAGGGAACTGTCTAAACAAACCATGTTCAACAACTGCAGTGTCCCATCCCCTCCTGATCCACACAGATTACATTTCTAGAGAGCCACACTCATCTTGGAACTGCGCTTGCAGCCCGACACTGCTGCGACTAGACAATACCACTGTTTTGCTGATGCCATGGAAACACCAAGACATGGACTGCACTGCGAGCCAGGGCTACGTTCACGGGAAGGAAGGGGAAAAGGGAAGAAATCTCAAAGGTGGCACAGAAAGAAAACACAATCCACCCAAGGGGCACAATCCCTCTTTATAAGATTGATTTAAACAGAATTGGCAGCATATGTAGTTAATACTAATTCTAAAATACCAAGGAGGGAAGGGGAGGAAAAAGTGAAAGAAAAGTAACTAGAGCAAGCCAGTGTAAAAAGGAAGAAAAGTCAGTGTGAAAGAGTGACAAGGTAAGCAGAAAACTGAGCTGTGTTGGGAAAGGTAGGCAGTGTGAAGTTTGTCCTGTTTACTGTTCAATGTCTAAACTGGCTCGAGCCAGGAGATAAAGAGCCGAATGCTGCAGGCTGTCAAAGGCTCAAGAAAAAGCAATTCAGGGAATGCCAGGGCACTTGGAGTTTCCTGAGTTTCCTTCCCTCCCCCAGAGCTCACTCCTGTTTTCAGAGGAGTGCCTCTTGATTTATCAGCTTCATGCAATCCAGATTTAACAAGTTCAAACTGGATCTTACTACAAAAGGAAAAAAAAAAAAGGGGCTAAGACTTGTTTTGCAATCTTGGGTATTTTCAACAACAGTAAACTCACATATTCTTTCCTGTTTGCTCCACGTACTGAACCAGAGCTATAAATACAGGCGAGTCCAGCAGAGTGAGCACCCCCGAGCCTCCCCAGCACGCACCAGGCTGCACAAAACAGCTATGACTTCACTTCTCCACCCCCGGCTGCTGTGCTGAGACACCTAGTCCAACCATTAGTCACAGGCGTCAGCTGCTCTGTACTTTGTGCTTGTTTAGGATAAGCAGAGCAAATACCTGATGAAATAGGTTTTCCAATTAAAAAAAAAAAGATTATCACAGTCCATCCTGAGAGGCTACTTTCAACAACCCATCTGGGGAAATAACAGGGAAGTGTATTTAACACACACTGGGCGAAAATTAGCTTGACATTCAAGTGTCTACCTCGCTGCCCCTCTGCCCTGGGCCAGGTCCAGCCCTCCACTAGCCCCCAGCAGCAGCTGTCAGCCGCCCTCTGACACCACGAATTGCCGTACACAGCCTATCTGCTGAGTAATCAGGCTCATTGGCCTCTTGCAAGGACCAAGTCTGGGTCAGGTCCCAGTTCCCAAGAAACAGATTTCAGGTTACCCTACCTTGATCGCTGTCTCCAGACAGAAACTCAAGGATGGTATTCATGGCTCCCATGTAGAAGATGAGCCGCAGCTGAGTGACACACATGGTGATAAGGCTGAGCAACAAGATGGGACTGAAGACACTCTTCATGAAGGAGGGAGTAGCTGCAGAAGGAGTAACAGAGTCACTGAAGAAGGCGACATACCTATATAAACACATACAATTTCAGGAGAGGCTTTGACCTCCAGGTTAGCAGGTCTTCTCCTAGCTTGTCATTCCAACACTGTGTGCCAGCAGCAGCTCTAAGGAGTTCACAGTTAGCAACTAACTGGTGCCTTACAAACTTCCATGACAAACAGCTATAGATGACTGACCTGCAAGGGAGCAGGTAGGAGACTCACCTAAATCTCTGTATTAGAGCAAAAACAACTTCAAAGCATTTGCTTTGGCCATACCCCGGCCTAAGGAAGGCTTGGTCATGACAGCAACAATCTACTTAAGAGCCAGCCACGACAACTGCACCATCCTCCCACAGCCATTCCAGTTATTCATGCTGTTGGCCCCACTGCTGGCAACAACATGGTGTATTTAGGCACATATACAAGGACAGGATTCCTTATATAACTGAACTTGTATTTAAATAATGGTGGCTGGCATGTGGCCCTGGCAACACACAGATCATGCATTGCTATCTCATAAACAGGTCTGAAGTAGAGCAGAGAGGCCGAGAGCCTCGTGCCAGCATGAGCATCCCTGGGGCACTCATGGAACCAACCTGCATTGTCAGGCTGGCACTTCACTTCTAGGTCCACCGTAGACAGACAGAGCTTGTTGTTCTCTTGCAAGGCTGTCGGCTCCTTGGGGCCCTTCATGGAGCTCCCCACACTGAGACGGCGCCCCACAGTCGTTACTTGCTTGTAAAACTGCTTCCCAGTGATTTTGTGGTCAAATCCCAGCCAGCTGAACTTTATTTTCACCCTGTTGGGCAGTAAAGAACATGAGAGCTGCAACAGGGAGGGGAAATTAAAGGCAGCAAAGCTGCAGGAATCAGACATATGGATCCAAGGCACTAGTTTCCACCTACAAACCCACAAATGGTCTGGATCCAGAGCACAGAGATACTTCTCCTGGGCCAGCTTGGCACAGGTCAATATAGAAAGACTTATGACAGATCATTTTCCTTTATAATTCCTACACTTTGGAAAGTTCAACTTTCTACAGATATTCACCAGTCAAGACATAACAGTAATGGCACACAAATCCTCAACCTAAGAAGGAATGGCAGCGATGGAGAACATGTAGGGGAGTTCCCTGTCCACTCTAAATTAGCCATGCCAGCACATCCTAGAGGATTAAGAACAGGATTAGCCCTCAAGGCCACTCTAGAGGACACTTACGAATAGTCCATATCTTCTGGTCCTGGGAAAGGCTCCAGTGGCCAGTTGAAGAAGCAGTTGAGGAAAACTAGTCCTGCACAGCTTGCCCAGACAAGCAGAATAAGGATGAAGGAGACCCCTAAGTCATATATAACCTGGAAAACACAGGGAATATGGTATTGGCTATAAGCGCAGACAGATACTTCAATGTTCTTTCAATGAGGTCTGAAAGGAAGCTGTGGGAAAGAAAAACATGCTGAATTTAAATGGGTTTAACTCAGAACAGTTCTGTGACATGCAGGCTTGGAAAAAGCACATGCACATCTTGAACAGCAGCTATAGCAACAACAACAGGCTGTCCAGCTGCAGCACATGCAGCCCTGCTGCCATCAGATGTTTTCAGCCAGGACCTTCTCCTTGGAAAGGCAGCAGGAACCTTCCTGCACACTTGAGGCTGCTTTACCTTTACCAGACTCCCCTTATGCTACCTGCAGTGCAATATCTCTGGCTCAGAGCCACTAGCGATCTAAAGGCAGCCCAAGTGACCATCTCTGCTGTCCCTTCAGTGCTGTTTGCTAGCTCTGAACTGCGTTCAGAGCCAACCACACAGATTACAGATACACATGTATTAAAAATACATATATATACTCCTTAGAGTTAAAAGGAGCAACCTTTCGTCAGGAAAGATCTTCAGTTACTCACTTTTACTTAACACCTGGAAAGTTTTACTGTCTGTTGATGAACAGACTGTTCTCTTTGCAGTATTTGTTGAGTTCTTGAGGCAGTCACTTGAGAAGAATTTAACAGAGACAGGAACTGAATCTTGCAGAGGCACATCTCAGAGTGCTTTAACAAACAGTCCCTCTTTCTTGCCACATTAATGCTGAATGGTGCAAGACTCCAGAACAACACCACCAGTCATTGAATCATGATCCCACGGCCTCACCTTGATTCCTGGAAAAGTCACAGCAGAGGAAGCATAGGAGCCAATCATCAGAGCAATGAACGTGGAACGAAGGTCACCAAACATGTTGGGCAGCTGGGGAAAAAAAAAAAAAAAAAGACTGGATGAAACAGGCTGCTACCAAGAGAAGGGAAGAGGAGGGAAGGAGACTTTCTTGAGAAGACAAAGTTAACGGCAGACAGATCTGGCATTTAGGATTAAGACTTCTGGATGCCAGAATCTGAAACAGCCAGTTTTACTCAAGAACAACTTAGCTCTTCAGGATATTGCTCAGCAGGTTGTAGGGGTGTCTCCAGTGCCAGGGATCATCTACAATCCAAGATTTATGTGCTTAATGAAGATGCTTCTTTCCAGACTGACAGACTTCACACCGGTTACCTTTAGCACAGGAGTGCTTGCTTCAGCCCTTGTCCTTTAAGAGTTTCTTACCCCAAGCCTGTAGCCACCACTGCTTTTCCTCTCCAAAAAATTGTGTGCCTAAGTTCTCTACATATCACCCTCTTGTCAGTCAGAGTTGTTAGTTGTGGGCTGTTGCTGCACAGTCTTTAACACACCCTGCAACACCCTGAACTGCCAGGTTGGTTTATGCACCTTGGGTCAGCACCCAAATCTGAGTAGGGGACCAGAAGTTTCTGTTACAACAAGGAGCAACTGTTGCATTTCCATTTCCAGCTAGGTCCCTGGCTCCTCCTATGAAAGGAGACTCTGCAAGAGGGGCTACAGCTGGTTATTTCTCCATCAGCTGGACAGCTCAGGTGCCCATGCACACGGGCTGGGAGCTGGGCTCAGTAAGGCAAGTCACAAACGCTACATTGCCCAGTGCAGCCACAGTGATGCTGAACTCCCCAGCAAGGAGTGGGCAACTGCACCTCACAGTGCTATTCCTGCCACCCACCCTGCTTCACTGCCTGGGCTCCTGTCAGGTGCAACTGCATTGCTCAGAGCCGACCAGGCTGCTTCTGCAAGGATCCGTTGGGAAAGCAAAGCTCTCAGAGCGAGAAGCAACTCACAGCAGCCGCTTCTGCCACCTCAACAGCAAAAGCACTCCCAGGCTGCTCTCCAACTCCTGCTTCTACTCAGGACCCAAATGCAGAGCAGAACAGGCAGAAAGACTTGCGAGACCTTCCCACTCTCCTGGGAAAGGAGGAACTTGCTGTTTTTCTAAACAACCAGAAGTGAACAAGTTTCCATCCCTGACTAACGGTGGTGTGCAAACTGGAAGTTACAGGGAGAAGATTTGACGTTGCAGGCTGCAGACAGCTCAGCCAGCAGCTCCTGAAACTGGTCAGCGGGCAGAGATTCTGCCGCAGGCAGGCAGATTTCCATCCTACCTTCTTTTCTGGGTCACTTACTCCCCCAAATTCACTTGGGCATCACTACCACATCAGCCTCAGCGGGCCGCAAAGCAGGACACTGCAGTTGTCTTCCAGGACTGAAAGCAGAACCCACATTTTATCTGTTTAAACATGCTGCTGAACAAAATGATTCAGAAGAGAATATTAGACCCGAGCCTGAGCAAGCAAACGCTGTCATCACATTCCCCTTTCACTGCTGGAAAACAAATCCATCTTTTCCAGGAGTAGCATATAAGGCAAGCAAATCTGGCTTGTGTCATGGCAGGACCAGCGTGTTTACAACACGAGTATTCCTGTGCAGGAACACTCCAGGATCCATCTGGCTGTTTATCATCCCTCTGTCTCACTGCAGAGCTTCCTATGCAGTGCAGTCTCCAGGTCCTCAGATAACCCCAGCCGGGAACAGCAGCAGTGATGTGCCGAGCCCGATGCTGCTGGTGAACCCTGAGCAGACGCACTGAGCAGAGGCAGAAAACGCTGCGCTCCTCTGCGGCGAGGATCCCCACACCCATGCCCACAGCCCTGCATGCGGGAGAGCTGCCAACAGGCTGCTTTCAGGAGCTGCAGACAGGAAACGGCAAAGGATCCCAAGGTTTGTTACCAGGCACAAAAAAAAAAAAAATCTCCTTGGAAGCAGTGGCCTAAATACACACCCCAGAAAAAAAAAAAAAAGCATCTGCGGAATACAGTATCCGCAGGTTGCAAAAAAGGCTAGTCACTGTCACCAGGCATTTAATTTAATCTCAAATACCCCAAACCTGAAATAATCTCCAGAAATTACAACAAACAGCTGCTCCTGCTGGGGAGCTCGGAGCAGGGCAAGAGCTCCGCAAACACAGCTGCTTCTTGGCTCGGGCTGTTTTTCCCCAGGGAGCACAAAAAGCCTTTTTTCATACAGCAGACAAGCAGCTCCCAGCTCCTCCTGCTGGGAGGGCTACTGGAGACAGGGCAGGCCTGAAAGTGAGCCGTCATGTCCAGGAAAAGCCAAGCCTGCTTCTGCCTCGATGGGGACAGAAGTCCTAGAAAGCCTGGAGATATCCTAAAATCCTATTTGGCACCAAACAAGCAGATAGGTTAAAGAAATTGAACACAAGAGATTTAAGGTCTTATACAACCCAATCAAAGCAGAAACTGCAAACACTGAGTACTTGGGAGGAAAAAGAAATCTGAGACTACCTGGAGGGGCAGAGGGAAGAGCAGTCCAGACCCCGACAGCCTCTTAGGCTGCGAGTGCCAGCGCTGGCAGTGCCTCTGCAGGTCTCATCTGAAGACCAGCTACTAAAATAACACCCAGTATTTACTAAGCCACTTTTTATGTTGTCTTTATAGCAGCAAGCACTGGAAAACATGAACCAAAGAGGAAAAAAACCCAAGCCACAGAGCAAGCAAGCTCTGGTTTTCTGCCTCCAGAGATCCTGGTTCTGATCTTATCCCTGCAGGGCAGAGGAACTCCCCCACTAACCCCAGCCCATTCTGCTACGACAGCCCCAGTTCTGCAAGGCCTGCAGTGACAGCCGCTCTTGCGCCTTCTGTTTAAAGGTCGATAATACTCAGTGTATCATTAACTTGATGCCCTGTCTGAAAGATACCGACTTAGTTTTGCCATACCATAACTGGCTTTCCCTGGAGTCCCTTATTATAGGCATGGAATCCTAAACTGATAAAATAATTTCCTCTTGCTGATTATTTTCTCATCTGCCCTATAGTGAGTTAAAACCTTTGATTTTTTTTTTTAAAAAGTAATTTTTCAGCTTTTTCCTGGAGACAATCCTTATAAAAAAAAGCTACCACAAAAGATACCACAGCAGTATTACCAAACCCTGTTTCCCTCCTGTTGCAAGGACTGTTTGAAACAACAGTGGAAAAAGTCAAGGGATTGAGAACTAGGCTACTGGAGAATGGTATTTTTGTTCAAGCTGAACTTTGTTTTCCCTATCAGGGGTATATTTGGAAGCCGTACAGACACTAAAAATATGTTCTCCAGGAAAGCCTCAAACTGCCTGCTTTGTCCAAAGCATATGGAAATTCCTGTTCCCATTCTCCAACAAACAAAAGATCACACAGCCCTAAGTTTTCCTAATATTTCCAAGCAGAGAAGATTCCCTAAAGGGGTGCACACCTCCCCCCAGCTCTGATTAAAGGGCGCTGTTTGTAGCAGAAAATAAAAGCGAAGCAGCTGTAATTCTTTGAAAGGAAAACAGGACAGAAAACAATCTATAAAAGGCTCTTTGTGGTAATTTATCACACATGTTTATTTCTTAGCGTGAAATAGCTTCGGAGCAGAACCAGCGCCAGATTCCCGTGTTGCTGTCAGAGCCACCAACACAGATCTGTTTCCATTTCAAATCTTCACTTACATTGGCCAAGACCAAGTCACAAGGCAGAAATCTCCCCTCTGCATTTGAACAACAGGCACGCTTTGACCTTGTTCCCAGAACTGGGAACGGCGCCGCTTGCTCGCTCCCCCCCCCCACAGCCACACAAGGCGCCCAGCAACAGCAGCTTGCTTTGGCTCCGCAGCTTGCCATGCGCTTTCGTGGTACCCTGGGGACTTGTTACTGAAAAAGGCTTTAAACCCAAGAGGCAAATCTTCATGGAGTACTGTCCCAAGCTGTAATCCCCAGAGATCCTGTTTATCCCTTGCACCAGCACTGAGGAGCCCAGTCTCCTGCCCTCCCACCAGACCACTCCGTGCCCAGGTGTCCCAGGAGGTTCCAACACCCAATGAAGCCCCACAAGCCGCAGCACCCAGGGAGCATCCCGGCCCCACACACCACAGGGGCTCCCTTTGCAGCCACCCTGCTACGAAGCAGCAAGCGTAACCCGCCTGGGGTGGCAGAGGACCAGCTCATGCACCAGTGGGTTTGACCCATTTCCTGGAGCGCGTCAGGTCACTTGCTGCTGGCAGGAGAAGGAAGTCACCTTGCTGTGACTTGTGCGTGCACGTGCATGCTTGGCAGCCGGCACCTGTGTCAGCCAGAACAAGCTCACTTGGCACCACAAGCTGATTAGCGCTCACTGCCTCTGTGTAACGAACGTCCTTAAAAAGGTCTTCGAGTCTCCCCTTTCAGCGTTTGCTTCAGCCTCCCCCAGGTACAATGCAGAGCAGAGTGCCTGCAAGCCACATCACTGCAGCCCAAAGCCATGGGCCTGTCATCCCCTAGTCCCTCCCTTGCCACACACCCTGCCAGGTGGAAGGGACCAACCAGACATCGCCATGTCACCGCAAAAGATGGCTCTTGACACCAACTGGGAGCAACCCCAGCTTGCAGGCACAACCATGCAGGGGCAAAATAGTACACTACCAGTGAGCAAAATACACCTGCTTTTAACAGCCACCACCACAGCTACGTTGCGCGGCGAGGAAGTGCTTCCCTCCCACTTTAGACTATTTTTAATCACATGCTGCAGGTACCGAAATGCCGGTGTGGCTCTGCAGGGAGGCAGAAGCAGCTGCATCAGAATCTGGGTTTGAGAAGTCAGGCCTGGAGCCACCTCAGCTCTTCACAAAACACGCTGCTGTCTGGAGGGGATGAGCTCACCTGAGACCTCCCCGAGTGAACTCACAGCACCGCCACTTGCTTCAGACCTCCTCGAGTCTTGGATCTCTTGGAAGATTTGACCTTTTTCCTGCTGCTGTAGTTCCTTAGTGCTGCAGAACTGGCTCACTAATGAGGGCTCTAATAAGTGGCTTTGCTTACTTCTGGAGCAAAAGGCCACAGTACAGCAAAACCAATGTATTTCTGCCCTATCCTTGCCCTCCCTCCTATCATCACCAGTGGCTCTAAAATAATCTGTGACCCCTTAATAACCACCCAGAGAGACACTAGCCAATGCTGGCGGTAGGACGGGAATCTTCTCTTGCACAGATGCGCTCTTCTCCTCCCTGATTTGATTTGAAACACTGCAGGATGACATTTGCCCCATAGTTCTTTGGGACCAAAGCCAAGGCTTCCATGAAGAACACTACATACGAAGAAAGGGACTGACATCTGCAGAGTTTTGAAAGCTTGGAAAGCACCAGCATCACAGTACACACTGATCTGTAAACCCAGCCTCTGCCAAATTTAGGTCTCAGGAGTTCAGTCAGTGTCTGAGCCTTGTTCAGCCAGTGTCTGAGCCTTGTTAAATTAGAGGTAACGGTAACAAAGTTTTACCTCAACAGCAAGTTCAAGGTGATACAGTCCATCTAAAAGCATTCAGCCACAGCTCAAGAAACAGTAGTGCTTCCCAGACCATTTTCTGGGATTCTTTCCTCTCAGTCCTGTTTCACCCACACGGACAAGGATCAGGGTAATGAGGTAGAAAATAAAGCAGATACTAGGAGGATGATATTGCTTCTGTCTCCAGGCAAAAAGAACCCCAAAATGTACAGATCCAGCTGACAGCTGATGACCAACACTTGCGATACAGCCCCTGGAAGGGACTCTCACCCTTCTGAGAGCAAAAGCTTTTGTGCCCAAGTACAACCATTGTCCTGGTGAGGAATGCAAACTGCGCCTGCAGAAAGCTGGTCATACCCAGCTGCAAGGGTCTCTGCCCAGCTGATTCTTCCTGTGGTATGTAGGTGCTAAATCCAGGGAAACACATGCCCTGTACCAGGGAGCTGAGCACTGCATGTACACGCATATGACAGTTTGAGTCCTAGACAAAAACACCTTTTTTTCTGCCCCTCACCTTCACCTGAGATGCAAGCAGTAGTTACAAAAAGTAAAAGAAAAAAAAAAGAACTAGGGGGAAAAAAAAAACCACCAAACTTAGAATAGCCACCTAGTACTCAGCCTTTCAGGTGAAAGAAGGACCGATCCTTTGTACTAAACAAAAACATGTGCTATTCAAGCCATAGGCAAAAGCTCCACTTTGTTCTTCCCTGCTAGCCCAGCTCACGGAGCCATAGTAAGGAATGAAAGAGAGTCAGGTAAATAACTCTTCACTTACCGTAAGCGATGTGAAGGTCATGCACATCCCACCAAAGCCATTCAGAGCCAGTGCAATGAATATCAGCACAGACAGAGCTGCAACAACAAAAACACGCCCTTAGTTTCTACTGGGGTGGAGAGGGAAAGGAGACAGAGCCCTGAAGGCTGGTCATGACACATGAAAGCCTCAATAGATCAACACCCTCAGGACATGCCACGCTGCTCCTGACCCAGCACCCATCTTCCCCAGCCACACAGATGAGGAGGCTCTCCTCCAGGCAGCATTCAGGATGGGATCATCTCTCTCCAGAATGGAAGGGTTTCTTTGGTTTAATGAACAGAGTTGCTCATGAAGCTTGTCCAAGTGGGTCTTAAAAGGAAGATTTGCTTGAACGAACTAGATTCAAAGTGTCATCTCACTACCTGGTCTCCAGAAGCAAGCTCCAACTATCCCTGGTGAGAAAGCCAATTACACATTGTGTGCTATGGCCTATTTCCCAGCTCTGAAAAAGCCATGAACTTGTTTGGAATTGCACTTTTACAGGACCTGGCCCTGCCCAAACGCAAAGCTGACAGACCTGGCTCTATCTCAGACACTTGGCCCTCGCCCTGCTCTCCACATAGGGTTGTGAAACACCAGCCCTCCCCAGAACTACTCAGCTCCCACAGGCCAGCAGCACTGCAGATGTGACAGTCTGAGCACGCAAGGACATGCGCACTTGTCTGCTTCCCCAAAAATAAACCTAAGCCACAGCCCCCAAACCCTCTGAGTTCAGCAGAGAAATGCCTACTTACAGTCTGGGTTACTGGCACCATACGCGATCAGCACACAGGACACAGCAAAGCAGGCACTGAAAGGGAACCAAAACACGAGTTTTAGAGAAATCCTTCCATGCAGCAAAAATCACATACACTTCTACCTCCTCAGGACCTCGTTAAGCAAGCACAGAGTAATTTCTGTAAGAGGGAGGGAAGCCAGTGATTTGGAAAGAAAAATCTATGGAAATACCCAAATATTACAGAAAAGCTTTGCACAAGGGCTGAGACAGCAAGCTTTCCTCCCAGTACTAACACAGCTTTTGCTGGACCCGAATTCCCGACTGGTTTTCCAGCACAGGGCCTTGCCAGCCCTCACCTCGAGGTGACCACAGACAGCAGGAGCCTTTGTCCCAAGACCCAGCTGTGGTCACAGCATCCACAGCCTTTACCTGCTCGTCTATGGTAGGGTCTGAGTCAGAGACCTGCCCTGGTTTTCCCCACTCTGCCCTGGAAATTTGGTTTCTGGTACAGTTCAAGTGCATTAAATTCAGCAGTTCTGGGTCCCCTGTGCCCGAGACGTCACTAATCCCCATATGCTGTGACAGAAGCAGCTAAAGACCTTGCTATTTGAGGCAGAAAGTAACACACACCATACAGCAGAAAGGGCCCTAGAAGAAGCATGCAGGATGTGTTTGTCCCCAAGTTAACTCCCCAGCTTGCAAACAATGACATAACATCTTGGGTTTACGCCTCTCAGGACATAGCTCCCAGCTCAAGGAAAAAGCTGCCCTCTGTGACTCACAAATCACAGCTCTTCCTCCAGGCTCTGTCTGGCCAGGGAGCACAGAGCTGAAGTGAGGACATGGAGTCCCAGGCTCTTCCCATATGGAGCAATTCACTGTGCTGGCCGAAATCATCCCAGCACTGCTCCAGGGCCCTGTGCACGACCAGCAGCTCCTAGCCCCATCCCTCGTACAGTTCCCGAGGCTGCAGGGATCCTGCAACAGGCACAGCACCCAAACAGCACGCATCTGCCCCAGAGAAGGCGTGAATCCGCCCCTTAGCCCACGCAGGGAGCCCAGGACACCAACCTGCCCAGGAGCCGCAGCTTGCGAGGGCCGTACTTGTCCATGACAATCCCCAGGGGCAGCGTGATGGCACTGAGCAGGAAGGACCCGATGGTGAAGGCCAAGTTCAGCATTTCGTCCTGGGCGTTGCAGGAAGGCCACTGGAGCTCAGCTGTGCTGTTCACGTGTTCAGGGCTGCTGCTGGTGTTCTCTGCACAGGGCGACAGAGGATCATCACTGCAGCGTGTTAGAGATGGGGCTTGCAGTGCCACGGGAAGGAGGGAAGGGAAAAGCCACAGCACACCAGGGATACACCCTCCACACCATGTTTTGTATTATAGTCAGTGAGGGATGGAAAAGGAAAAGAGGAGCAGGAACAGGACAAGGGAAACCTCACGAGCTCACCTGGAAGCAGGAAAAGGGTACGCAAGCACCCAGGGGACAAGTATCCCCAGCAGCAGCAGGGTAACAACTGAAGGACATAAATTCATTAATTTATAGGAACAAGCATACAGCAAGGCCCTGGGAACTACAAGGGACTAAACCCAGCAGAATCGGAAGGGACGAACACAAAAACAAGGTCCTCCTAATCTACAACTGGCATGTTCTCACGGATCTTTTCCCTAACTAAACTGGAAGCGGTAACTGCAGCCAAATCAGTTATTTTGGGTCCAGACACTGCGCTGACAAGGCCTGGCACAGAGCAACAGACCGCTCAAACGTCAAGCTTCCTACCCTCACTGCGGGCATCAGGATGAGCGATGGCTTTGCAGCAGCCGCTCTGCTTCCTGACTACCCTGGCTCTCAGAAAAAAAATCCTTCCTGGATTTAACTACCCAGTTCCCAGGGGGCTGGCAGCTCACCTGCCTTCTCGTTCATTAACGGACTGATGCATCTTTAACTTCTCCCCCATAATTAGCATTATTCTAGTCTTTCCAAGCGGGTTTAGGCCATAGAGATCAATTATAGCTCCAGCTTTCTGTTCTTGCCCTTCCATGAGGAACTCGGCGTGCAAACTCCCATGCTGAACAGAGCCCACGTTGTGTAACGCAGGCAGAAACAGGGCAGTTTAAAAAAGAAAGTAGTTCCTTTTTTCTTCGCAGCAGCAGTTTTACTGCCTCATATTAACCCTGCTCCTGTTACAAGCCTATCCCAAGGTGGCTTACAACTCCTCAAGCAAGCACGCGTGCCTTCAGACTTTCATTAACCCCGAGCTCCAGTGCACTCCACCCCTCCTCCCGACGCTTATCAGCCTTACAAGTAACCTTTGCTGGTATGACAAAGCACTTGCTTTCTTACTGCTGCCGCAAGCCAGCGGCATCAAACGCTCGTCCCCATATTTAATAATTGATCTGACATAGTTCAGTATTAAAGGAGGAAAAGAGCGAGGAGTCACCTACAAAACCATCTGCATGGAGTAAGACTAGAGATTCCCAGTGAGCCTTGGTTGGTTAGTTAATCAGCGGGAATCCCTCACGTACAAGTGACTTCATGTTCACTACTTGTGCAGAGATGCCCTCGGCTGCTCTCTCCCTCCCTGTGTCTCTGGAGATCACACAGCCCCGTCTCGCAACTCCCTCCCTTCTACCCAAACCTCAGCACCACAGTTACTGGTTTCACACCCTGGTTCTCCCAGCTGGCCAAAACAACCCGCCCAGCCTTGTGTCCATTGCAAACAAGTCACACTCCACCTTCCACGCGCCAGGTATTAGCAGGAATTCAGATGCTGATATCTGAGGCTCAGGAGCTGCCGGCAAACCTTCCCCTTTCCCTCCCAGCGCTCCAGGTGTGTGATGCAGAGTGCTCTCCAATCACACTGCTCTCACCAACACCTTCACCAAGATGGTTTCAAAGCGCCTGTGAGCAGCGATGGCTGTTCCTTCCCTTTGCTGTGTGCCCCTGACTGATAACTTAATCTGCCCCTTCTCTTGCCCTGTTAGACACAGCTAGCCTGAGCATGCAGCAGAGATATCCCCAAAAGGCCACCCTGGGCAGCACTCCAGCCTGAGGCTCCCAAGTCACATCCTTAGAAATCAGCCCTGGACAAGCTTGGGAGGCTCTCCACAGTTTTCATGACATCTCAGTCTTTTTATCCATCTTCCCCTCATGATTTTAAATGTTGACTTCTGACAGCATCTCCATGAGGCAGGCAGGCACAGGCACACAGCTTCACTCCCAGCATGCAGGCTTTTTGGGCTCTCCATAGTGGTAAATTCATAGGAAACAGATGTGGGTGAGAGGTTGAACTCAGGAAAACAAGGAGGGGGGGGGGGAGAAGAGTGACAAAGTAGTAGTGGTTTCCCTGTGTCAGCACTCCTCAGAGACAGCTCAGCTGTGGCGAAGAGGGGTGGAGGGACACAGACAGTGCAGTGACCCCACAACTACATGCACTGAAGAGCCTGTCCACCCTCCCTGCGAAGAGATCTCAAACCAGAAATACTCAGCATTTAAAGCTGGAGTAGATCAGTTACTGGTAACATATTCACATGGCCCCAGGCAGCTCCCACATGTGCCTGCTAGCAGACCCTCCGATGGCATGCACGATGAGCAGGAGCACCAGGAAGGGAAGAGGGGACAGCTCAGAAGAAGCAAGGAAACTTAGCCAGGAAGGCTGGGAACAAGGCACCAAACTCCAGTCCCTGCTTGTACCAACCACCTTGTTTACAGCTGCTCATCGCCAGCTCCAAGGAGGGGCCAGGCAACAGTGTATGTGGAAATACAAATTGTTTGTGAAAATAGAAGCAGGCCCTGAGCAACAAGAGACGATCCACTGAGGCGTAATGGAAATGGTTCCAGCAGCCCTTGGCACCCTGACATCCTCTGATCCTTGGAGCCACCTCCATAAATAGAACATTTTGGAGGGGCTGCAGGTGTGTGCAGCACACATGAGGCCCAGCCAAGCGCCATCTCATTGGGGAGCACAGATTCATCTGCCAGCAGGAGAGCAAGTGGCAGCATATGACATGCAGCTAGGAGGAGATTAATGGGCAAAGAACCTGCCTAACTACTCACCTACCTAACGCACCTGGTTACAGCAAACAGCACTTTCCCTCAATCACAGCTCAGCTCCCATTCCAGATCAGTGCAAGCTGCACTGCTGGGGAAAGTCCTACGTGCTTGGCTCCATCTGCAAGAGTGCTTTGGGGAAGGGCAGTCTGTGCAACAGTGGTGCCCTCCCCAGATTCCCCTGCCAAGTCCACCTGCATCCAAGCGTGCCAGCTCTGGCACACAAGTGTCACCCCGGGTAAGCCAGCAGCACAGGCTCAGCCCATGCATGCTCTCCGCTGTCAAGCTAGAAGAAGCTGCAAGTCTTTATCAGCAATTACAAGAACACGCTGCCTATTTTTACAGCGCTCCCCCTACAAGCAGC